TTTTTTTCTTTCTTCTTTAAGAAGGGGAGAAAAAGCAAAGGGTGAGGGAGAGAATGAGGCGTGTAGAGGGAGAGGAGAAGAGAAAGGGGAGAAGGAAGGGAGAAACGGAAAAAAGATGGATTACGGGAGAAGAGAAAGGAAGAGTTGAGAAAAAAAGAAGTGTAGTGATGAACAGAGAGAGAGAGAGAGAGAGAGAGAGAGAGAGAGAGAGAGAGAGAGAGAGAGAGAGAGAGAGAGAGAGAGAAGAGAGAGAGAGAGAGAGAGAGAGAGAGAGAGAATGAAAGTTAATAGAGAGGAGGAGAAAAATAAACTCTCTTTCTCCTTCTTTCTCTTTTCCACTCTCTCTCTCTGTCTCTCCCCCTCCCTCTCACTCTCATTCCCCCCCCCCCTCTCTCTTCCTTACTCTCTCTCTTTCTTTTTCTTCTCCACTCTATCTCTGTGTGTCTCCCCCTCCCTGTCTCTTTACTTTCTTTTCTCTCCCACTCCTCTCTCTCTCTTCCTCCTCCCGCACCATCCTCTCTATTTATCTACCTACCTATTTATCTCTCCTTCTCCCTCCTTCCCACTATATATCTTTGCTGTATACCACGGATTCTTACAAGGAAAAGCCTGAATCTTTCTGGTTCGTTGTAAGATCTCTGAGACTGGTATTTTACGAGTGTTTTTCCTGTTTACGAATTTATCCTACAATTGTCACGCTAGATGAAAAAAATGTATGTATTTATAGATTTGTATATTTTCGTAATTCATATAGAACTACCGAACACACTACACCAATTATGAATTTATAGTGTGAGGAGATTTCCTTTGATACAATTGTTATAAAAATTACCGTTTCCCCGCTACGAGGGCAGGTGTGTGGGTGTCTTCTCATTGCTTTAGCGTCTGGATATAACGGACGCTCCTAAAATACACTTCCAGCTTGCCTAAATTCCTGCAACAGGAAGTATGCACACGGCTGCCTATTTATATCGAGCTATAAGTATATAGATGTGGATAGAAACACGGCGTCCCGAGTCCTTCTGTCCATTCGTCGGAGAAAACCGTGTACAGGTCAGGGTGATACCTATCTCTCTCCCTGTTTTAGATTCTACCCTGTTTGGCAGCGCGAAAGTGGATCTCAGCTTTGGATAACACGCCATTTTTATTAAGGAATCGGCAGAGGTTTATCGAAACAGAAATGGGATGGAAAGAAAAACAAATAGCTTTAGGATTTCAACTGCACTTCTTATCTCTTTATTTACATATATTTTGGTGACTAGACCCTATGTGCTTTGCATTTATTTAGTCTCCTTATTTTCCACTCGGTATCGTCGTGGTCCTGGAAGTGAATTGATTGCTTCCTAACCTCAAGTAAAGTATTGCCAATAAATTAACAAGAGAATATTTCTGCAGACTCGAAGACTACAATTAACGTTTACATGGACGAGAAATGAACCGTTTTCACATTGCGACAAATGTAGAAAAGGTATGAATGAGAATGGATATCTCTTGTATTGTGAAGATATTCATTCCCAGTCATCGACGAGAGAATCATATCATTTGACTGTGGAGGAAACACATGGAATTCGTACGAGGTGTAATACGAAGCCATATACTCAGTGTAGACGACGCCAGTGAAAGCAAAGCAGAGGAATAAGTGGGCTTTAAGAGAGGAGACTCCATGGCTTGAGGCCACCAGAGAACAACACAGAAATCGGTTTCATCTGTTCCGAGGTAAAACTTGAAGTGGTAAAGAAGCCTTCGAGGAGTCTATACTCAAGGACGAGGTTGCTTCAAAGCCAGTTGCTGTCGCCCTTCACACGACGTCCAAATACAGCCTCGTCGCCTTTGACATCGGGGGCGCGTGTATGCTTGCACTGGCCACTGTGGTTTGGTTCTGCTCATTTTGTTTATACATAGAGGGCTCCACATGCGTTTTTTTTTTTTTTTAACAAAAGAGTCAGTTACGAAGCCTACCTGTCTTATTTGTTTACATCTTTCCTTGAATTTCTGTTTTTTCTAGATTTTAATTCAAATTATTAATGTATTTAACGGTAAGGCAATAATGTCAATAATAATGATAATGTTAATAGTAGAAATAGTCCTAATTATAATAACAACAAGAAAATAGGATAAACAGGTGAGATCACGTAGGCCAGTAAAACAAAACCCGCAGTGGATGTACCTATCGCCAATCGATTCTACATGGAAAATATGTGTTAATCTCGGTTCTGTGCGTTATTAAAGAACGGCGGTGCAATACGGTAACGCCTCTCGATGCAGCGGCAGAGATCAGCCTCATGATAGCGATAAAATCGGTTTGTGCATAGTCTCGTTGGCTCTTTAATCTCTCCCTTTCTCTCTTTCGCTCTCTCACTTTCTCTGTCTCTGTCTGTCTCTCTTTCTTTCTCTCATTCTCTCTTTCGCTCTCTCAATCTCTCCCTCTCTCTCTCTGTCTCTTTCTCTCTCTCTCTCTCATTCTCTCTTTCGCTCACTCACTTTCTCTGTCTCTCTGTTT